CGTATAACATATTTCATCACTACTAACAAAGATGATTATTCTTATTATAACTTCCATTATTCAATAATAACTAATCGTATAGTTATAAAACAGAACAACAGTCGATCTGCTCTCAGTGTTTTAGAATCCTCTGTGTCGGGATGAAGACTCACCTGTAACCTGACGGTGGCTCCTATGATCATGCTCTTCCTCAGGTCTCCGATACGAATCATGAAACACAGGTGGTTGTTCCTGACGGCGATCACGGCGTGGCGGCTGAAGATCAGCGTCTCCGCTCGACGGTTGGACTGAGCCGTCTTCATGAAGATACAACCTTCAGGAGACAAACACACAAACGTCAGCGGGTTGTAATCGTGCGTGCGTTGAACTCCTCTTGGGTAAGAGACAGCGTGTGAGTGTTACCCAGCATGACGGCGTTGATGATGAGTCCCACGATGTTCTGCAGGATGAGGACGGTGATGGCGGTGGGACACTGCTCCGTGATCATCCGTCCTCCGAAGCCGATGGTCACCTGAACCTCGATGGAGAAGAGGAAGGCCGACGTGAACGACCTGCGGGAAACAAAGCAGAAGGAGAATCAGTCCCAGTTTTGACCAACGTGACAAATGAATTCACGACTTTCTTACACTTCCGGTACAAGTACAAGCACTGCATGTATATTCCAACCACAGTAAAAGTACAGTAGTATTTTCAGCTGAAAGAATTTAGAGTATTTCAAGTATTTCAATGTTGTAGCTGCTGAAGAAAACTTTTTATCGCCAGGATCGATTCTCACAGTTTAATTCACATCCAACAATCTGGATCTCTGAAGTTTGTTTACTTCACATCTGGGAAACGTGCAGTAACACATTTATACAAATACTTGTACACTCGACACTTTGGTTTTACACTAATGTATGTATTTGTTTATGCTAATACTATTTTACTTTGTTTACTTTAGATACATCTGAGAGGTTGTGAGACGACGGAATCCTGCTGCACAATTTTTTTCTTTTTCAGTAAAAACTGATGGTTAAAGTTTTAATGTAAAATCTGAAAAGTGAGTAAAGATGTTAAATATGTGAAGTAAAACCAAAAACTCCAACTTGTGACGGAAACGTACAAGTCATCACAGCTGGGCAGCGGAAGGAGATGAAGAGGAGGAGGAAGGAGGAGAAGGTCACTGACAAATAAATGGAAAGGAGAGAGGGAGGGAGGGAGGGAGGAGACAAGGAAGGATTGGGGGAGGGGGGAGCAAAGAACACTCACACTCCCTCCCTCATAACTTCCTGTCATAACCAATGTCTTTTTCTCCTCCCCTCCTCTTCCTCTGACCTCTTTAAACAGAGATAGACAGAGATGTAGAGAGGAAGAGGACAAGGGGGAGGAAGTGGAGATGGAGGAAGAAGGAGAAGAAGGAGAAGAGGAGAAGAAGATGACATGGATGAGGAAGAGGAGGAAGAAGAGCAGGGGGAAGTAGATGAGGATGAGGAGAAGGAAGATGAGGAAGAAGAGCAGGGGGAAGGTGAGAAGGAAGAGGAGAAGAAAGAGGAAACTAGAAGGAAGAAGAGGAGGAGGACGAGGAGGAATAGGAGATGAGAAGGAAGAAGAGGATGAGGAAGATGAGGGCAAGAAAAAGGAGAAGGAAGAGTAGGAAGAGGAAACGAGAAGGAAGAAGAGGAGGAAGATGAGGACAAGAAGGAAGAGGAGAAGACGTAGGAGTATAGGAAAGCCTGGACGAAGTGGAGATGGAGGAGAAGAAGAACTCCAGTGTCACCAAACACATGAAACAAAGTGAACTTGCTCAACTTTGATAAAAACACGCTCTCTCGTCTGCGTCGTTCTTACTTGACTTCTGTGACGCAGCGCGTGTTGTTGAGTTGCGGGTCCAGGTCTCCGTGCGCAAAGGCCACGAGCCACCAGCTCATGGCGAACAGCAGCCAGCTGCTGACGAACGTGGTGGTGAAGATGACGAGCGTGAAGCGCCACTTCAGGTCCACCAGCGTGGTGAACACGTCCTGCAGGAACCGGCCCTGCTCGCGGATGTTCTTGTGCGCCAAGTTGCACGCGCCGTTTTTGGCGATGAAGCGCGCCTTGTTGACGCGGTCCCTGAACACCGGTTTGCGGGGCATGCGGGAGGCGAGGCCCGGCAGACCGAAGTCCTCCGGGATGATGCTTTTCCTCGCCAACATCCTCTCGTTCCTCCTCAGCTGCAAGGAAAAGGCGTCAGAGCTTCTTTGTTAGTGCGTCTTTACGCGCGGTCCAAACATGTCCACCTGCAGGAAAACACTCAGAGACGCGCACACTCCTCTGCGTCCGGTGACATTTGGAGATGTTCGGCAGTGGCCGTGACGCACCGCCTCTGCTGCGCTCCTCTGAGGGCTGGGACGCGCTCCGCTCCCCTGTTGACGTAAGAGAACTTCCAGAGTCCAGAGGCGCTCAGATCCGGAGCTGCTGCCTCCGAGGGTCGTTCAGGCACCACCGGGAAACACGGGATTATAAACTAAACGACAAAAACGACGCGTAAAAGTTTTTAGAATAAACGAATCACGCCTCAGCCAATGCGCATGACTTTTACGCACGGTGCCCAGAGTCCAATCACTGTTTTAACCCTTGAATCATAAATGTAGGATGATTTAAATCAGTTAATTTAAAAGCATCAACTTCAAATAAATGATTTATTAGTTGTGTCTTTGTACAGGTACATAACTGTGCACTTGTTTTAATTGTGACTGTTGTTTTCTATGAGGGGTTTTTATTGTTCTCCCTTTATTAACTTGTATTCTGACTCTTCAGCAATTAATAATACATATGACCAAACAGGACGTAACCACTGTATTTAGGAAAGATGACACTCTGACTTTGTGTTTACGCGTCAGCTTCAGTTTCACATCTGAATAATTCAACAAAAACAAAGAGTGAAGGTGAAATGAAGAGAAGCTTCAGATTTTACTGTTTAAAATGAAAAAGAAGAATGAAACTTAATCTTTAGAAACTGAACAGAACATAAATTCACATTATGATCAGACCAAAACAAGAATCTGTGCATTTTCAAACGTCACCTAATTTCTTTTTCTTCAATTGTGAATATATTTAATAATTGTCTGTTCGACTCTGAGCCACCAGGGGGCGCTGTTTGACAGTACACAGTCAGTGAGTGTGTGTGTGGTGCAGGTTTAATGAGAAAGACAAAGTTTCACTTCACTCAGAAACATTTTATTTTCATTTCAAGTGTAAAAAACTCAGGCACACAGAATTATAATATAATAATAGTTTGTTATAAGTTTAAAAACTACAAACTTTACATTTACATACATTTAAAAATCTGCTAAACTTCATCTGTGGGTGAAACAATGTTTATTTAACAGTCGTGTGATTTCATGAGAAGAATAAAAACAGTCGGCGAAGCTCTTTTACACACATCTCTAAATTTAAATGATGGAATTTCAAAGTGCACTTTTATTTAACTCATAACGAGAAACAATACGTTGAAAAAAATCCAAAGCAAAGTATTTCTGAGAGTCGGAAACTTCTGAAACGTCCTGCTTCTCGTCACGTTAGTTAAACTTGTGCTTTTTCTTTGTTTGGCACAAATCTGAGTTACAGGTTTCAGTTTGAGCAGCAGAGTGAAAACAAGAGAAACAAACCGCAGCTTCAGTTCGTCGTGTAAAACTGAAAATCTGAAAATTCTCCCGATGAAACACGAGAGAGAAATTTAGTTCAGTTTTTAAAGGAAGTTGAAAAGAATCAGTTTTCTGATCAAGAAGCCAAAGAGGATTAATCAATAAAGGATGATACAAAGAGACGGCAGCACAGAATCGCTCCCAGAGACAGAACGAGTGATTCCACAACTGAAGAAGACGTCTTTAGTATTTAAAGAACAATGTATATATATCATTATAAAAAGTATAAATGGAAATATAACAGTATAACATGATAGTTGGGCTCAAGTCGTCCTGTGATACGACAGGAACATTTGACTTAATACTTCGATCTCGTGAAAAAAAAGCAAATCTTAGACTGAAAATGAAGATGGACGACATGACGGCTCCGAGATAGTGAAGCCACCTTATCTCAACTGCCCCCTGGTGGATGGCCGCAGTATAGGTCGTAAAAACCTCTTCTAAAAGAACCTCCATTTTTCTGGGGTGGTCGTCTTCACACATCTGTGATTTATTCCAGATGTTTGGCTTCGTCAACACATCAGTTCAATAAAAAACGTTGATGTTTGGACTCGGGATGGACTCGGCGTCACGTGGCCATCTCACTCTCAGTCCAGATCGACCTCTCGGGTTAACGGGAGCTCGTGTTCGGCGTCCATTGTCCCCGACGATAATAAAGGTTCAGCAAAGCATGACCGCAGACAGACAGCGGGGTCAGCGGCGTCAGACCGAGCCGCGACACCCTTCAGTGTTTGTACTAGTGTAACATAGAAATACAACCGATAGAGCAGCGTCAGAGCTACTTCAGAGACTGAAGGTGGAAGAACAGTGGAAATAAAATAAGTTTACAAATCTACTGCTTTTAAAGGCATCGCACGAAATCTAAAGATACGTAGGTTTGAAATCAAAATCCTAATTTCTTACTGAATAAAGATTAAGATGATTTACTTGACTGAACAGAAACCCTGTGAGAAATACATTTATCAATGCAATCAAAAAAACGTTTGCAAATACAAAAGATCGGTTGTTTCGAACACTTTTTCGTTTCGTCCTTCTCCGTCAGTTTGACAACAAACCGTTGATCAAAATCTCTCCTGGACACAACTGCGACATATTAGTTTTACTTCTCTCTCATCGAACTGTAGCACGTCCTACACCAGCGTCTAAAATATTAAGATTGAAATCCTTTACAGTGACACAGATCGTACAGGGCACACCAACATTCAATCATGTAAAAAAAGGATTTAAATAAAACTCGATATAAACTTCTTATTTCCTTATTGTTGCATTATATAAGTGATAAAGTGTAAACTGATACGTGTGGTGCGTGATTTAAAAAGAACTTATTAAAGACTCGAGTCAGAAAAAATTGATTTTCACAGGATTTAAAAGTTCAAACTAAAACTATTGAATCAGCTGTGAAGTTTAAAAAGATTTCATAAAAACCTGGAGAGAAATCTCATCGCTAGAAAATCATTTCTATCGTGATGATGTGCTGGACGAGGAGACGTTTTTCTTTCTGTCCACAAAAATGCAAAAACACCAAAAGGTACAAAAGAGTTAGTCTGAAATCTCCGAGCTTCTTAGTTTGAACTTTAAAGTAATTTCCTAAAACTGGAGGAAATATTTCATGTCAAAGTGTTTTCCTCACATGGAGCCACTTCTTTTGATCTTTCACGTTTCTGTTTTAACTCTGGCAGATAAAAAAGTTTCTTATCCAAGAGCATTAAATCTCTCTGTCGTTTAATTCAGTGAAAAAAGTTTAAGTGCTTCAGCTAATTTCTTCAAGCGTCGATGTGAGAACAGGATAAATCAGCCGATGGAGCAGATGATCGTGATAGAAGGCAGTGACCTCCGACGTCAGCCGTTGTTGTTGTTGGCTTCCCTGTCGTGTTTTACCGTCACAGAAGTTCATCGAACTTGTAAAAAATATTTTAATTTCTTTTTTTTTAATGAGAAGTTCAACCAACTGATCTGGACGCCGACTGTTTGTGTGTCTACAAGTCGGCTTTGACGAACGAGGTGAACAACCCGTCCTCCTGCTCCAGAAGAGTCTCGGGTTTGTCGTACTCCAGAATGTTCCCTCGCTTCATCACGATGACCAGATCGGCCGTCAGGATGGTTTGGACGCGGTGCTGGAGACACAGGACGAGAGGTCAATGAGGACGATGACAGAAAAGAACATTTATACCAATTATTGTTTATGGAGCCGACACCTGAAGCAGTTTTCAGGCGTGAACTCCAGAGAGTGAGCTCAGTTCCAGAAAATGTCTGGATCAACTGACTCGTGTGTTTTTGTTTGCGGCTTCAACTTCAACTTAAACCAGACGTTGAATGAAACCGTTGCTCTGAATCTGAACCTTCAGGCACCAGAGAGACTATTTTAAATTGAATCAACTCAATAACTAAAGTCTCAGCAGACGAACTGAGTTCACTGAATGAAGCATCTTTAACAGATCATGCAGCGTTTTCACTTTCGGTACCAACCAAGCTGTCAGTGGTGTTAAGGCTTCAGCAGACCCAGAGTCAGCCTCCAGCTCCGACTCAGCCGGGAAACGTAGAAGAAAGGAGAGGAGGAGAGGAGGAGAAGAGGAGAAAAGAAAAGAAAAGAGAGAGAGAGGAGAGCTGAGCCGAAGTGGTCCGGGCTGATCCGGGTCTACTTGTGAGTCCTCACTAGCACACTGAAGAGGCTCCCCTCGTGTGCTAGCAGGTTGGGACCTGAGTCACTTTCCACCAAGATCCCTGAGGAGAAGACCAGCACCTGCTGGGCGTCCAAGATGGAGGACACACGATGCTGGACGGAGGCACAGAGAGGAGGAGGAAGAGAGGAGGAGGAGGAGAGGAGGAGGAAGAGGAGGAAGAAGAGGAGGAAGATAAGAGGAGGAAAACAACGTGAATAAGTGATAGATGGAGTAAAGATGAATCAAAGGGGAGGGAGGAGAAATGCAAAGAAAGGATTGAACGAGAGAATAGAGATAATTGAAGGAGAAAAGAAAGATGGAAGAAGAAGGAGGGATGAAAAGACAGATAGAAAAATAAAGTGGGAGCAGAAAGACGAGAGTAAAACAGAAAACAGAGAAGTTTATATTCAAACATCTGGAATATTAACTTATGTCACACGTGGAAAATGTGTTGGTAAGAAACGTAGGAGGAAAAGATAAAGGAGGAAAGTATGAGGTGATGGATGAAGCTCAAGAGCTTCTTGTCTGTTTCCACCCTGGACGAACCTTTACTCCGTTTTTAAAAACAACATCAACAGACGGACGGACTCACTGCGATCGTTACGACTGTTCGGTCGGCAAACGCCGTCATCACCACTTTCTGTAAAATGTTCTCCTGCGAAGAAAAACAGAAATAACTTCAGGCTGCATGAAAATCTACTGTGGGTGTTTAGATATCATATATACTGTTCAACTGGGATTTCTCTTTGTTTTTAGTTCCATGACGAGAGGACGTTCTTTATAACATGTACTGAAAATTAATGAACACACACACACACACACACACACACCGTTGCCATGTCGATAGATGCTGTTGCTTCGTCCATGATGAGGATGCTGCTCTTCCGGACGAAGGCTCGAGCCAAACAGAAGAGCTGCCTCTGACCGACGCTGAAGTTCTCACCTCCCTCTGTCACGACGGCATCTGAACACAAACAACACACACACAACAACACAATGAACACAATTCGACGGTGACGCTCGTTTAACGGGGGGGGGCAGGGGGGGGCAGTGATTCGAGTACCTAGTCCTCCAGGCAGAGCCTTCACCATGTTCTTCAGCTGGGCGATCTCTAGCGCCTCCCAGAGTCGGTCATCGGTGCACTTCCTCTCGGGATCCAGATTGAACCTGCGACAGAAGTAAACACTGAGACCAGAACCTCAGAACACTTTGAGAGCAGGTCTGGAAACAGCTTCAGACAGACAGAGGTCTCTAATGTTGTTCTAGACATTAAGTGTCTTGATTCATCCGTTTGTCTTCAGTAAAATAAGCACAGAGTTAATCACGACGTGACAGGTCTGCTACGTGTTACTACTGAGTGTGTGTGTGTGTGTGTAACAGCAGTATCTAAGAGAACAGTGTGAAACAGTTACTGTCGACCATTCACCCCCGAGGCTTATGTTCACATAAACAAGAGCCAGTGGAAACACCAAGATGACAACCCCCCCCTCCATCTCCCTCTCTCTCTCTCTCACACACACACACTTATCTGTCCAAACAAATAGCACATGCTCTTTGTCTTTTGTAACACAGTCACTGTGTCATCCAGCAACACAAACACACAGAGGTTGTGAGCGTGTGACGGAGGACGACGCAGGCTCCGTCCTCCCTCGTACGACCTCCTCGGCCCATGACGTCTGCGACAAAAGTCGGATTAGGACCCGGCCAGAGTTCCCACTGTGTTTTCAACCACTAACCCCGCAGCTGGGACGTCATGTGACAAATGTCTTTCAGGACAAAAACACTCAGGAAGGCCGAGGTTGTTAAAAGGACGTGTGTGTGTGTGTGTGTGTGTGTGTGTGTGTGTGTGTGTGTGTAAGTGTGTGTGTGTACCTTATTGATCCACTGAACAACACAGGATCCTGGAGGATGATGGAGAGTCTCGACCTGAGAGTCGGCAGAGGAAGTTTACAGATGTCGATCCCGTCGATGACGATCTTTCCTGCAAAACAAGCAAAGTTACCTTCATGTATTAACTTCATATTAACTCATACATGTGTTTATATTTTATTACCTTTATATATTAACTTCATACTAACTCATACATGGGTTTTATTCTTGTGAGGTTTCACTATGTACAGTATTGTTCTTTCCTTTTGAAATGATCTTTTTTTCAAATTCTTCACTTACACACAAACACCTTGAATAAGTTTTTTGTCGTTCCTCTCGTTTCAGTCAGGAGCGTTTTCACCGTGACGCTGCTCTGGTTTTATTTTGCTGCTTTATAAGGAAACGCTGCTGAAACAAATGTCTTGATTTACAGTGACACAAGACATCTGCCCAGCTGTGTGTGTGTGTGTGTGTGTGTGTGTGTGTGTGTGTGTGTGTTAATGGAAAAAGTGACTACCCTGATAATCTGCCGTTGTCGAGTACAAACTCGATGATACGATTACGACTTGCTTTCAAAATCCAATAAATACAAAAGACGGTTTTAACACATTATGGCTGCCGTCTTCTAAAATAAAGAGAGAGAGAGAGAGAGAGAGCCTGAAAATAAGTGAATCGAGCGACGTCTCGCTGCTTCTAACGATCTGATGAAGAGTCTACTTCAGGTCCACTCCACACGAGATTAAAAGGGAAACAAGACACACGAAGAACAAAAAGACGAGCGGACTCTCACTCACAGAAAACCTGCACCAGTGTTTAAACAGACGTCAGATACATGAGGGACGGTTAAATAAACATTTGTCCAACATAAACACACATGATGGTGGACGTTTAGAGGAGACACTATCCACAGTTTACCTCCACTGCTGCTCCAACTCATTATCTATTGTCTATTTAATCCCTGAATAAACTCAGCTTCTTTCAAAAGGTTTATAATTCTCATGCTTGCAGAACATTTATTATCCAAAATAACCTGTAATATATTGTTTTTAGAGAATAAACAGACGTTTGGTGGATTATTTTGGTGATTTGTTCTGGGTTTTCCAGATGTTTTCTAAATGTTGCAGGTGAGAAACTACTCATCGTGTGGACCCAACAGAGGAACGGCTCCCAGCTGCGATGTGTTCCAGCAGATTTACAGTTTGGAAGCTGAGGAGGTTTGCGACTCGTTCTTTAGACTTGAGGAAGGAGAATGTAAACTCAGAGGGTGATTATGTTCAGAGTGAACAGGGCGACATGAGCCAGGAACAAACGCTACAAGCATCGTGAGATCCGTCCTGACACCCGAGGATCACGACTAGAAATAACCACTGCTGACGTGGCAAAGACAGAACAAGGTGAAGTTCAGGGTCGGGACGAATCAAGGTAAAAAAAAAAAAAAGATAAATCTTTCACTTTAATGAGACGTAAACAAATGGAACCAGAGAGAGACAGAGGGACAGACGAGAGAAAAAGAGAAAAGAGGAAACCCACCATCAAAAATGTCCACCATGTTGAAAAAGGCCAGCGACAGAGAGGACTTCCCGCTGCCGGTGCGGCCGCAGATCCCCACCTGTCAGGAGGAGGAGAGCTGGTCAGTAAGCTGCAGTGTGACACCGCAGTGAGACATGACACACGCGTGTGAGGAGCTGCTCCGTGACGCGTGGTCGGGTCACAGTTAAAATGGAGGCTCGCAAAGTAAAAACCTCACGTTCATGAGATTCGGACATTTCAGACTAAAGCAACTGAAAACAGCAGCTTCGGTTAAAATGAGTTTGTGTTTTCCACACAAACAGTGAAAGTTGTGTCTCTTTCAGACGAGAGGAGAGAAAAGTTCACGTCTCTTCGTTCCTTTGGACGCTCGTCGCTGCTTCGACACGTCAGTGTGATGTCAGGTCGTCGTTTCTTATCAGCAGTGTGTGAAGCACCTAAAGATGTTTAACCTCAGCTCCGAGTTACTTCAGTGCTGCGGTTTCATTATTACTTCTCTTGGTTTGTTTTCAAATTAAAATGAAAACTTAATCAGGAAATCTATTAAAACTTAAACAACCTCCATTTGAACTGTGAGGTCGAAGTGTGGCTGTAGCCTCAGACTCAAAGGATTTCAGAACAGATGCAAATGTCACAGAGCATCAGCATTGACCTCTTAAAGCCGTGCACAGGTGTGACTGTGCCACAGCTCCGCTCCTCTCTCCTCACAGAATCCCGTTAATTACCTTCTGGCCTGGTTCGATGTAGGCGTTGACGTGTTTGAGCACTGGCTTGAGCATGGGATCGTAGCGCACACACAGGTTCTGGATCTTGATCTCACCGTTGTGGGGCCAGTTCTCGGGCACCTGAGACGTGTCTGCAGAGAGAGAGAGGGAGAGAGAGAGAGGGTGGAGAGAGAGGTTTGAACGCGTGGGAGCAGAAGACAGACTCGCTGTCGGCCGGTTGTCTATGTTACAGTCCCGCCTGGTGTAAACAGGAGCATATAGAGCATACGGACCAAGTCATAACAGAAGAGCTTTCCTCAAACACTGAACTTTAACCCTCAAGTACGGGTCAAGAGCTAAAAAACGCACGGTCCCACACTTCCCACAATGCATTTTGTTGGACTCTCCGAGCTTGAAAACTGAAAACGCTGACCTTCTCTCAGACTTCGAAATTCAATAAAATCAAGACATTCCAAGAAAATCCCAGAAGACGAACCTGAGACATCATGATTACAAGACAGGGACGTAAAGACGGACAACCTGCAAACATACCTCCGGCCACCAGGTGACTCTAAAGCAGGGCCGTAAAATACTATCGTGCTCCTGCTGCGGGCCACGTTTCAACTTCCTGCAGAACTTTTTCACTTTTATCAGTTCGCTGGAAGCTTCCATGACGTCAGAGAGGAGCAGAATTCCTCCCGTCACTGTTTTTGGATTGTTTAAAGGTTTTATTTCAGTTTACTGTAAATGAGCTAAAGTCAGCGATAAACATGTGGAAAAGCTTTTATCTGAACTCCACTCTAATGTTTTTATACAGTCTGGAAAGAAAAACAGTTTCTCTCTTTTCTTTCCTCTCCTTCACTTTCTTTTAAACTCAGGAATTGAATTTATCATGTTTCCTTAAATAGCTCAAGACTTCTCCTTTTTTGTTCAGGGGCTCTGTTGGACGTGATTTGGCTTCGTGGGGTGTTTTTAATCTCGATGACACTACGCCGATGATATAAAAGCTGAAACAATGAAACTTCATCTGCCCTTCAGGAAAAGATTATCACGACGTTTGTGTTTCACCATAGCAACAGAGCGTCTCATAAAAACATGAAATAAAACGTCTGGTCCGTTACGCAGAAGATAAATCAGTGAGTTCATGATTAGATCACATTCTGTTCCACTGAGTGAATGAGGAACCATCAACACGTCCTCTTAAATAAAATCGTCTTCAGATCCAGATGTTTGGGTTGTTTGTGATAATAAAAGTTTAAATGTGGTTTATTTACTTATTTTATCCTAATAATGAAGTTTCAGCAGATTAGAAAAAAGAAATGTGTTGATATGTGACTAGGTTTGTTATTATATCAGATCGTTATCAGCTCAGTTACCCATCGACCCCTCGTAGTTCTCCGACTCTGTGCTGAGGAAGCTGTTGACCTTCTTCACCGCCGACATCTGCACCTCGAGGTCCGCCAGGTTCCTCACGACCCAGTTCAGGTAGTTGGTGACCTGAACAGGAACAGACAGAATGTGACTAAAATAGGTTTTGATAGAATTGACATTAAAAAAAAAGTCCTGAAATGGTACTTTAATATACAAAGACTATTTAGCATCGACAATCATGACTCATGAGGTCATCGTGACCTTTGACCACTAATCATCTTTGAGTGACACCTGGTCAAGACGCCAAGATGGACGTGACCTGTGATCACCAAACTCGAATCAGTTTATCGTGAACTCCGACTGAACGTTTGTAGCAAGTTTGAAGAAATTCCCTCTCAGCGTTCTTGATATAGACTGTTCACAACAATGGGACACACGCACGGACAACACCTGAAAACAAAATGGAGGAATAAAAACGCGACGAGACGTTGTGATTAAACATCAGAGCAGGAAAACTCACGGTGAGGGCGTACGTGAGTGCGAGTCCCACCATGCCTTCCTCAAGTGAACTCCATATGGACGCTCCCGCTGCCGCCAGCACGATCACTGCTCCGAGGTAGTCCTGGAGAGGACGGAGGAGACAAGACCACGTGTTTACTAGAAGAACGTAACCATGGAGACAACGTCTGACGTTAACAGCTGAGTTTCAATAAGAATAAACTTTTATTATTATTATAACAAATGATGGTTAAGAACAAGCTTCCAAGTGATTCTGCAAAAAAAACCCTGTATATTTTCTTTGTTTATTTCTAAACTGAAATATGCAACGACTTCCTCTGTACGATATTCGTCTGCAGTTCCACACGATGATTTTTAATAAAATCGTTTCTCACCGTTCGGACTTCCAGCCAGCGGTTTGCGGCCGACAGAAACAGGTAGGCTGTGTTGTTGGTGTCCGTCAGCTCCAGCATTCGCTGTTTAAAACGAGCCTCATGTCTGAAAAAAAATGTTTATACGTAGGTTAGATCCACAAAACTCATCCTCCGCTTTCTTAGGAAGACTATAAATAAAGATGGACGACATGACGGGAGGACGTGAAGACCCGTCATCCATCTTTGTTTACGGTCTATGATTCAGCATCAATTACCGACCGAACACTCACAAGTTGTATCTTGGATGAAATGTGGAGTTTTAAGTTGAGTAAGAATAAAAGTCTGAGTCCAGTGGTGAATCACTGTCGTCCAAACCAGACCAGGGTTTGGACAATGATAATGGGAACTGTCCCTCGAGTGCCAAGAATCTGTCTCAACAGCAGCTTCACTGTTTCTGTGCGTGTGTGTGTGTGTGTGTGTGTGTGTGTGTGTGTGTGTGTGTGTGTGTGTGTGTGTGAGAGGAAGTCCTCTGGGAAGAAGAGAGGAGGAAAAAAAGCGTGAGAGCTGTTTAGTGTTGGATTAGACCGATGATGGGAACGAGGGTGAAGACTGAAATACAAGAAGATACAACAACCGGGGTTCTAACTAATACACTTATACAAGTAAAAACACACAACCGCTCACACTGGTCTAACAGCTACTGCAAACACATTATTAAACTTAAGTACATGTCTGTCATCATAAGTCTTCTCATGACCAGGGACACTTCAAGAGACTTTGGGGGCCCCGGGGCAACAGGGATGAGGGACGAAACCAAGAGACGAAGCACCGCGTCATCCCAGTCTTCAAATGGTTCTCTTCGTATTCAAAGTATAAACAGTGCATGTGGTTTGGGATGCAGCTCTCTGCCTTTCTGTTTTTGGTCCGAACCCGACCCAAGCCTGATGTTTTCCCACAAGTACGGGAACGTGCAGTGAGAAAAAAAATCGAGTCCAACCACGGTGACCGAACCCGAACCTGATTATCATTTCAAGATTTTCTTCAAAACTGGTTCCGAGTCTGTGGGACCCGAACAAAGTCCTGTCGGACGAACATGAGAGCAGTGAAACGAAACACGAATGAAACATTTTAAATGTAAACCTCCACCGCCAAGGGGTTCGCACACAAATATTGTTGCTGTTGAGAAAATATCCCCCCCCCCCCCGTCAGCTCGGGGCCCCAAGCAATGCCCTGCTTCGCCTACGCCCCTGGTCATGACAGTGGATACTACTGCTGCTGACATCGTTAACCCATCGTTAACCCATCGTTAACCCCCGGACCACAGTGGAGATACAGGACGAACAATAATAAAAATCCGGATTTCAGCCGCAAGTCGTACCTGAACGCTCTGATTATGGTGAGACCTTCAGCCGTCTCGGAGAAGTGACAGAGCAGAGGAAGCTGTGTGGAGTCGTCGAGGTCCTGGAGGTCCCTGAGAAACAACAGCTTTCCTTATATTCTATCAATGTTATTCTATAAAACAGTTCATAGGTTTTCACTGATTTTCATTTTAATTTGCCTATAAAAGTTCCCTTAGATCTGTTGATGATATAACAACGACAGTGCCGACTCACTTGGACGCCACTCTGAAGTACTTCTGGATGAAGTAGAAGGCGATGGCCAGAGGAACCAAGGGGAACAGAAAGACAGGAGCGATGAAGGATATGACCCCGATGGCCGACAAACAGAGCAGCGTGGATCTGGTCAACGACTCCAGTGTGGGAGGGATGTGCTTAAGGACGGGGAAGAGAGAGCATCGTGTTTTCTCATGTTACAGACATTAACGCAGGTCATTCACTGGGTCCCCTCGTCCTCGGCCAATCACGATCTGTGATTCTTCCATCTACCTGATCAATGATGTTGGTATCCGCCGAGAACCTGTTGAGGATCTGCCCCAGAGGAGTGATGTCGAAGAACCTGAGGAGACACGGAGCACAGTGGTGGCAGTTGCAGGTTTGTAGCTCTGTTTGTTGGCGTAGAGCCGCTGACAGAAGCCCACACCCTAATGAGACCACGTTTGACTCCAACAGATTCTGAATTTGGTTTGGAAATCGTATTCACGATGCCCCAAAATATTCCTGATTCGATTTCTTGGCCCATTTCTCAGTTGAAAATCTGTTCAGTAGTTTTTGTGTAATCCTGCTGACAACAAACACACACACGGATCGAGGCAAGAAGATTTTTAATTTGAATTTCACTTTCCGAGCCGCCGCCCAAAACAATAACATAAAGGAGGGGAGACCATCGGAGGGAGAGAGATCACAATGACGTAACTCACACTGAACAAGTTCAACTCATGTTCATCTGTATCATTACGTTGTGTAGTTGTGTACCTGATGGGAGCGTGGATGATCTTGTTGAGCAGGTTGTGGTGCAGGTTGGTGGCTGCAGAAACACCCAGAAACTCCACAGTGAGGGAGGTGATGAGGCACAGTGTGATTCCAGCTGCACACAGGATAATGAACACTAACAGATAGTAGGAGTCCTTCTGCGCACAAACACACACACACACACACAGACACACAATGTAAGAGTTCAGAAAACCAGAGCTACTGTTTATGTCACTGACAATGTAGAAAAATTAAGAGTATTATTTTTTTCTCCGTCTTTTCCAGGAGGTTCAGTCTGTACCTCCAGAGTATCCCCGGAGAGGGTGAAGTTTCCGCTGATATTCACGGCCGAGCTCGTTCCATTGTACGAGATGTTGCTGGAGAAGCTCTGATTGGACGTCCACAAGGCCAACCAGCAGTCAACGGCGACAATGACGGAGTGTTTGAGGAGCTTGGAGGACACCATGAGGAAGACCATGAAGAAACCACCAGAGGACAGGTAACACCAGCACACCTGAGACGAAGGAGCAGATGTCCTCACGTACAAATATGAAGATTTGATAAAGTAAATAACCAAATAAAAAAAGAGTTTTCATGTGTGTGTCCATCAGATGTGTGCGGCTGCAGACAGATTACCCTCCACGGGATTTTAGATCGTCTGTTTGTGGTCGTAGACATGTCGTCGTCGTCTTCTTCCTCCTCTTCCTCCTCTGATGAGACGAAAAATCAGATGAACAACGAAGCGATTCAACACTTTTCCTATTTCCGGTTTTCTTGTTAATTGGATGTTAATCACCTTCGTCCTCGTCATCCATCTGGTTCTTGGCTTCTCTGGAGTAGAAAGCTCTTCTCAGAGTTTTCCTCTCCAGGGTTGTTTGACTGTCCTGCTGAATGTCCTGCACACAGAGACACAATCACAACAGGGACACGTTGGTGGATCAGTCATCGCCAGATTTTGGAGGAAATGTCCTCCTCTGTTTCCTGAAGCCACTTCACCTTCTCCAGCTCGTGGTCTTGTCTGTTCATCAGAGTTTTCCAGTGATCGTACAGCTCAACATCATGAGTCTGAATGTCCTTCAGGGTTCCCTCCCTCAGGATGGAGCCGTCCTTCATCGCTATGATCTTGAAATAGACACACACACACAGAGAAAACATTCAAACATGAGAGAGTCGTGAGCTTGATGCTAAACATGATTAAAGCGACTGAATATCTAGATTTTGAATGTTTGGTTTGAAATGAACTACCACAGAGTCGTACTGAAAACTGTGGAGTTGAGTTTCTTCAGATATTAGTACATCAGTTTGCAGTTCTTACCCAGTCTGCGTGTATAAGATACTGCAGTTTATGAGTGACCAGGACGACGGTCCGTTTATCGTCCTGCAGGAACTTGAGGATTCCTTCCTGCATCAGGTGATCACTGAGGTGGATGTCCAACGCTGAGAAGGGATCGTCCTGACAGATACGAGAGAGAAAGAGAGAGGGTGGGGGGGTGTTAAATATCCGAGATGATCAACATTTCAGTCGGATCTTTATTAGCTTTGTTCTGTATTTACAAGAAATCGTCACATTAAACGTGTTGGATCTTTAAATCCAGGAAAATCTGACGTGGAAGTTTGCGAGCCGAGCTGTTACTTTCACCCTGCGCACTAAATTAAAAACTATCCCCAAGTGTAAGTGGTACCTGTTCTACAGCCCTGAGATAAATGTTTATATTCATGTGATTAAATTACGCTGATTTACTGTCGAACACTCGGCACTAAAGCTCCTCTGGACGACGGCGTCTGCCAAATGTGATAAGTCTGTTTTGTTCCATGACCGTCTGTCTAAGCGGGTGGGCTGCGTCTTCTGCAGCCTGTTCATGGAGATCGGTGTGAAGATTGTTTCATGCTCTTCACTGACGTATATATATATTCCAGGCCTGAGATCACGCATGGAAACAACAGGCAGCAGTGAAACAATGTGAGTTAAGAGGAAACGTCTCCTCCTTATCACACGTTTTGTGAAAAGTGTGATGAGTGCAGAGAAGAATGAATGTGGCCTTGATAACCAATTAGAGTTTGTGATGGCGACAGGAAATTATATGAAAGATAAACACATGACAGCAGAGGCGAGCGAGACACGGACGCCTCCTCATCCCAGCGGCCGGCGACACGTTGTGTGATACAGCGTCGCCTGATACAATCAATCGTAAAGAAATGCAGTGAGGACATGACGGAAGATAATCCAGTAAAGAGAGGGTGTTACTTCCTAATGGAGACTTATTTAATTCCCTTAACAATGTTTATTAAAAACCTCTGGGCTCGATTTTTACACATCTTCTTAAATGATCCTTTTAACGGACACTTTTATTTTCAGGACAACCTCAGCTTTGTCTTCATTTCGCTGAGACACGAAAAAAGACCAAATCATTAGGATCTTGAATATTTTCAAGATATTTAACTCACCAAGAAGACAATGTTGGTGTTCTGGTAGAGAGCTCTGGCCACACAGATTCTCTGTCGCTGACCTCCACTCAGGTTGATGCCCTGAACCACAAGGACAACGCAGATCAAAATTAGAAAATACATAAAATGAAAGATCAGACACGTTTCTTCTGTGTGTAATAATCAGACAGTAACTTTGAAGGGTTGATTTGAAAGATAATCCAACATGGATTCAGATATATAACAAGAAACAATGCAGATGTTCTGAGCAGTAGATTAAACGCGTGCGAACCCTCTCTCCAATCTCAGTCTGGTCTCCGAAAGGCAGCAGGTCGATGTCTGGCTGCAGAGAGCAGGCGTCAATTACAGCTTTGTACCTGAGAAACACAAACAACAACGGTCATCACAGAAAGAACTCATTTCAGAAAAGATCTCAGCCGACACAGAATCTTTTTATTTTACCTCTGTTTACTGAAAGGGCTTCCGAAGGTGATGTTGTCCTCCAGTGTGGCGTTGAGCAGCCACGACTTCTGGGTAGCGTAGGCCACAGAGTATCTGTTCTTGCTGGATGCATCATGGGAAACGGAGGCAAACAGACACGGAGTTAGAACTACGAGTCCTGTTTTCATAAAGCTAAAGAGCAGGAGCACTGATCCACGGTCACCGGTCACCTCCAGGACCTTCACAGCTGAACTTTTGAATTTGAAACACAGGTTTGATTTCAGGGAAAATAGATAACGTATCATCATATCATGTAATTTAACAGATATAAAATGAGTAGATCAGATTTTCGATATGTGTTTGTAACAAAAGGTTCATTAAAAGATATATCAAGGACACGAGGAAGGAGAATAATCTAATTTAAGAAATATATGTACTTTAATATATATATATATACACAATTTTAATATTCATATTGTACTGTATACTATACCTTTATACATTACCAAATACAAAAGGGTAACAGTACACATCCACCTGTATATCAAATCAAGTATTATTATTATTATTATTATATTTCCACACGTTCTCTTGTCGGCCTCGTTCTGACTTTGACTTCTGAATTTTAATAAAGGATCAATAAAGTTTATTTCTTTTAATTTAATTCTCAGCATTTCACCTTTTCTGAAGACGACTGTTTAGGGGGAAAATAATTCTGAGATCAGTGCTGCTGTTCCAGTCAGCTTTATGAGGAAGAGGAGGAAGAGGAGGAGGAGGAGGAGGAGGAGGAGCCGGAGGATGGTTCATGGGTTAATGATGAGCAGCAAATCACCACAACCACAGTAACACAACAACAACAACAACAACAACAGCAGCAGCTGCAGCAACACCAACTTAAATAAAAACACGATGACATCTGCTGGGAAACTGATCTGAGAACAACACTGCTGACATTTCAGCTTCACTCCACACACACACACACACACACACACACACACACACACACACACACACACACACACACACACACACTGGAGGCTGATGTTTCTGAACACACACATATGAACGTGACGCTGCTTCAGCAGAAGAACGGGGCGGCACGGTGGAGCAGTGGTCAGCACCAGTCTGACACTAGTCTGAAGGAACCTTCAAGTTATAATTGTGTTGGAAAAGTTTTTAAAAGAAAAATTAAAACAATTCTTTTGAATGTTTTCTATTTTTACTGTTTAATTTCCTGCTCGTTTCTTTTTTGTTCTTTTAAGCATATTGAGCGACAGGCGCTGACTTTTCAAGAGATAATCTAGAAAATGTTGTATATTTGTTTTAAACTAAATTCAGTTTTTACGTTTTTCTTTGATTTCTCTTTTCATGGTTTGATCACTTTGATCTCCTCAGTTCAGAAAAACAGATCATACGTATGTGTTCATGGACACAGCCTGAGAAATCAGTTTTTATTAATCTGTACTTTCTGCTCAGGGGGTAAATATGAAAAATGGAGTTAAAAAAGATGGAGGGGGTTCGGATGAGGGGTCAAAGGGTCACTTCAGGTCTGAAACAGGATGAAGAGCGAGGAAGAAGAGCGTGTACCTCCTGATGTCTTCGTCAGACTCCTCTGTCCCTGACCAACTGTCAAAATCACGTCAGTGTGTTAGAGTGAGTCTCAGCTGTGGGTACGTTTAAATAAACATGTGAAGAAAAAGTCAAGAGGTCGAGAAGCAACAGAGACAGAGACACGGAAATAAAAAACAGACGATGGAAGGAAGATGGAGCGAAAAGGGACAGAAGTGTTTTCATTTCAGACTCCAGACAATGAAGACATGAGGTTCGTCTGCCAACTGTTAATCAGTTCAACCTTCCCACCCACTGAAGAAGAGCCATGGAAGAGATGCAGTCACGTCTGTCTAAAATAATTAGGTTTGGTGGCTTCTTCCACGATGAGGACTCGTGTCTTATCTGCATCAGGGCGTGTGCGTGTGATGATGATGCTCCGGGTCAAAGGATTATGTAAATTCAGTAGGTCCTCAAGTGGCTTTAAGCAGAAAACACAAGACCAGTCTCTTTTCACTTGTTTTAAATATAGGAATGAATTTGTTGGTTAGAAAGAAAATGATCAGGTTTTGTTCTAAAGTCAAACTTTTCAATAGCTACAGTTTTGATCTTTCTTCTTCTTTGTGGTTTCCAAAACAGGACTGACATGTTTTATGTGTCAACACAGCAAAAATAGGTTTCTTGAATCTATTGCTGATGAATTTCCTGATGTCAGGCAGCTAACATTCCCTCAGGATGAATATTTATCTAGTTACTGATTCTGCTGAACGCAGTTCGAGCTAATTAAACTTTTTGTCTCAGCTGCTAAAACATAAATGATTCTGTTTCAGAAAGAAGAGGCCGGAGAGAAAGTACCTGATGTTCCCCTCGTGGACCATCTGACATTCAGGCAGCCTGATACGGCAAGAAGGCAGGAAGTGAGGAAACACACACACACACACACAGACACACACACACACAGTACACCAGTATACAGGCAGACAGGTGAATAGAAGTGCAGATCTGCACACATAGCAAAGGCTGGCGTGCAGCCTGATGCATCTTTAACGTTTGAATTGAATATATACTCCCTTTAAGATAAAAAAAAAATTCAGCTGCAACAGGATACAGAAATAAAAAAGAGACACATTTCTCATCCCAGCAGTTTCTAAAACACATTTCACTCCGACCCCTGATCCTTCAGAGGAAAACACTGGGATAAATGGTTAAAACCAAACTTCAGACATTAGTTAAACTCTCCGCTAACAAACCAACGTTCACTATCACTGAGAAAAGCTTAGATTAGGACGTACAAGTCAATACGAGCATTAATGTGGAGAGATTTCTCTAAAGCCTGGTTCTTACAGATCACACGTGCTGTTTTCTTTTTTTTAATTCCAGAACAACCACCAGGCTAACGACCTGTTTCTGAGCTGACATATAATCAAGTCAATTTTAGACGTGTGAGCAGGGTTGCTGTGATTCTTACTTGCTCCAGTGGACTCTTCCGTCGATGGTCTGCATCTCGCCCAACATGGCGAGCAGCAGGGAAGATTTCCCACAACCCACCTGGCCCACAATCATCGTCAGCTGACCTGAAGAAAGAGAACAGGCTAAATAACATTGTTTTGTATTTTGGCTTAATGTTCGATTTAATTGCAATTAAATCGTTAAAATAGAAATTCATTCACTAACAGTCAATTTGCCATATTGAAAATTTCACACACACACACACACACATACACACACACCCCCCCTCCTCCTGGGAAGTGACTCACTTGATATCATACTACGACACAAACAGGATTCGTTGATCTGCCAAGTGTTGGTGTCATGTTATTTGTAGTAACTGTGTGTGTGTGTGTGTGTGTGTGTGTGTGTGTGTGTGTGTGTGTGTGTGTGTGTGGCGGCCTCCTGTAAATAACCTGCTCTCCTGACTCTTGGTATTTCAGTGTGAGTGTGACTCACTCGCTGCAGGTCTGTTTGATTCATTCACATTTTTACAGCGTTCACAAAGTTCCAGGGATTTGAAATGAGGGAAAAATAAAGAACACGTGACCATCAGGAGTCTGATTCAAGAAAGAGAAATCACTGTTCTTTGTCACTAGTCTGATTCTAATTTCAGGGCTTTTTGTAGAGGCGGTGAAAGATAGTTTAGTTCTTCTCATTTTCTATCTTCTCCCCGACGCTCGGCTGTGAGCTGTTGTGTGCTCGATGACCGCTCATACCTGTCGGGATGCGGATGTCGATGTCTGACAGCGTCGACAGGTTACTTCCCCAGGTGAAGAATCCATTGCTCACCTGAACAGAAAGAGAGAGATGAAGAGAAATGTCACCTCCAGCTGCAGATTCATTTATTCTCACTCATTTTGCAACGTGTGAGTGAAGCACGTGACCCAGTTTGTGTCCTGACCCGGAGTTTAAGAATCCCTGAGAGCAGGGACACACGCTGTCCAAGCGTCGTCCCGTGATGCATTTCTCAGAGTTCACGACACAAGAGGGACAGATGCTGAGGTCCAGTTATTTATTCAACCCTTTGACTCTATCAGGGCAGATTGTAGAGGACGCAGCAAAGCTCTGATCCGCGAGAGGGTCGAGAATGAAATGGCTCAGTGAGGCAGAGCACGTGATGATCTGTAGACTGACATGGACTTTGATTTTCTTCATATTTCCATTCAGCGCTAAAAGATAAAAGTCGGACGTGGTTTGATGTTGATAGATATTTACACATCAGTACGTTTTTATAGACGATCAGTTCCAAGACTGAAAGGAGGAAGTCAGAAGTTCCAGCACGATTCACACTGCACGACGTGTTTCATATGAACCAGCATGTGATTCACAGGCTTCAGTCTGAAACCATCACTGCATCTTATCTCCCAGGGAAAATCCTCCCAGTCTGAAAGCACAGAAACTGGGTCTAATCCCAGTGCAGTGATCTGTCACCCGGCTTCCTGCCAGCGCTCCGTTTACATTCCTCCCATCTGCTGCATTTATTTGTTTATTTCATGTTTATTTTATCAGATGATCCCCACATCCTCCACTCCGCTGCTGCTTTCTCCCCGTCACACTTCCCAGAAGACGTCCACAGGACATCTCTGCTCCTTCGTGAAACTTTGTGTTACTTTCTAAAGACTAAACACCGGTGAAGATGTTTTATCTTGAACGAAAGAAAAAAAAAACCTGAATATGAATATCAGATTTTTGTATTTGTCCGGTTTGAGTGATTAAAAAACAAATGTACCCATCGGGAAAACCAACAGTTGGGATATAAATTGATTTTGAGGGAGTGGAGCTCATTAAGATATTATCAAAAGAAAGAAGAGAGAGAGAATGTAAAAAAAGAGGAGTGGGATCACTGCTTTTAGAAAACAAGTGAAACAAGCAGGAAGCCAGAGGAAGTGGTCCTGAACCGTTTATAAATAGGACTGGAAGATACAGATGCAGATAAACATGTTCCTTTCAGTCGTGAACGATAATCAACACGTTAATATTATTTCTCTTCAGTTTTTAGGTGATTTGAGTGAAGGTCTCTACGTTTTGTGTTAAACCTCTTCACTGTGTGTGTCACGTGACTCATATTTTGTTATCTGGCTGTTCATGTAAATGATATTGCGATAATTAGTGACTTTGTTTTATTGCCCAGCCCCAAATGAAGAATGCAAACACACCACAGCTAATTCCTCCTCATGTGCAAACCTACTTGGCAACAAACCTCAATTCTGATTCTGATTCCGGAACAGGATGAACGATGAATGCAAAAACTGGGGCTTCTATCCTCTTGATCGCCCCCTGGTGGCTGGCTGCAGTGTAGCTCATAAACCCTCCATGTTAGTGGATGGGACAAACTTCACTTCTGTGCAACAGGAGGAACTGGAGAGAAGTCGTCCATCTTTATTTACACGTGGACGAAATGTTTGTGTGAAATGTTTCTTTAACAAAGTTCTTCATCAGCTCAGTGAGACCATGTTCCTCTCTCTCTCTCTCTCTCTCTAATTAACAGACGAGTGTCTGGTCGGTAGCGTCGCTCCGCAGGGATGAGACCGGAAGAGCGGCTTCGCAGAGGGGCTGAGAAAATGCTGGAGAAATTCACAAGGCCCTTTGAGGGGCAACGTGTTCTCGTGTGAATCCTACACTTCCTGCGTCCACGCACACGCTTTCACAGAAACACACGTCACATGTATGATCGCACGGCAACCGCACACGAACCCACACACGCAGAGTGAAGAAACTCCGAGGATGTGAAACAGCTGCTGACGGAGTGAGTGAAGGAGAGGAAACTCCTCATGACGTCTCAGCGATAACAACTGAACCTTCTGGGATCTGACATGTCGTCCATGTTCATACATTCAAACTGATCTTCTGCTTTTAAAAAAACTGATATTCTTTGTTTCAAATCGGTAACGAATGAAAAATGTTCCTGCAATTTCCTTTCTTCTGCAAAATGCTCAGCTTCTGTTAAATGTCACTCTGCTGACGTGACTCGTTCCTCTGCGGCTGCACTTGTCTTCGCTCCAGTCTGAACAACAGCCAAGCAGCAGTGAGGAGAGCTGAGTTCATCGCCCCTGAATCTGCTCTGCAACAACCTCAGCACCGCTCCGTGTCTCAAACTGAACAATCCCCCAGGACTTCACTTCTTAGACTACATGTCAGTCCCTATCCGCCTCCAGTCATCCCCCCACATGTCAACTCTGACCCTGACCTTTACAGCCACATCCTCCGTCTCCGAGGGCCTCATCTGACGCCTGCTCGGCTGCTCGTAGTTGTCCATCTGGTAGCGCATCGGCTCCTTCCTGTTGATGGCTTTGGTCTTGAGGGGGAGAGGGAGAGACAGATTTGAAGTTAGAAATAACCAATAAAGTAAAGATTGTCCTGCATCCGCTTTGGTTCCTGGGGGAGAAGAACAGAGCGGAGGTTCCCTCCGGTAAAAGTTTCCCCACAGAATTTGTCTTCATTCTGTTTTTCTTCCCCCAGAAATACTCCAGTAACCTTTAAGTGAAGCCTTGTCTTTGTGCACCAACATCGAGCGAGAAGCCAATCACAGAATTAGTTTTTGTTAAAGTGTCATTGAAACTTTTCGTTTTTGATTAAAGGCTGAGTGTGTTCTTACGGCTCAGATGAGATAAAAGCATTTCTTTAAAACTTTTGAGAGAGTTTTCTCCTTCAATCGCTCGCTGCTCGTTAGGATCTCGTCTCCGCCGGAGTCTGAGTGGACATTATACAACGTCCGTAAACCCCTTATTGAACTTAACAAAATGGAAAACGACACGAGTCACCTGGTGTCACACGGAAGGAATGTCCGCATGTCGTCTGGCACACCTCATTGATCCAAACCGAGGAAACCTTAAAGCGTTTTCCTGGCAGCCTCAGTGTTCTTTGTTAATGTCGCCTGTTCTAAATACAGGATAAATGTTTGGATCTTTTTTGCAGATCTGAACAAACCAGACTTCATTTAACGTGACGTCTGTAAACGGCTCGTCATTCACACCTCGAGTGATCAGAATAAATCTTTGAAGCGGACTCAAGTATTGACATTAAGTTCATGGGTGAAACGTTTGATGCTTAGAGGAGAAAAGTTGACTTCCTGTCCACAATGTTTGCCTCTAGCGAAATTTTATTTTAGAATTTTTATATTTTTCATTTATTTTTATCCCTAATATCGACACCAACTCCCAAAATCCTCATCAGTCAGGCTCTAGCTTCTAGCCTAAGCCTGTAACCCTTTTCAAAAGTCTTTAATAACTATTATAATTATAATAAACCTTTCTGCAGAGGATAAGGGTCTGTTTAGGGTTGAGCAGTTTAAGTGTAAAGACGTTCCCCAAATAAAAATGATCATTTATCATGTGTTGTTGATCGGCCTGCAATCACTGAGACTCACCATCCCCAGGTGTTTTTTTCCTGCTTCGAAGGAAACGGGCATGTCTCCGTTTCTCCAGCTGTCGTCTCCAATTTCGTCGCTCTGAAGAAACTCACCGAGCTTCTGGACACTGTAACACACACACACACACAGACACACACACGGACACACACAGTTAAGTGTAATTGTGATGATACCAGTAATCTCTCAGGGGTTTAAAGCTTCTCTTCACTGCTGTCAAGTTTCTTCCATGTTCCTTTAATTAGATTTAGAGTCACATTCACTTTCCGTGTTTAGTCAGATCCATATATTCCCTCTCTCTCTCTCTCTCTTTCTCTCTCTCTCTCACTCTCTCTCTCTTCGTCCAAACAGCTTCACCACTAAGACTTTTTAAATTTACATTAAGAATCGACACAAAAAGACGCAGCACATCGCACAAAGGTTATTTTTAGACGTATTCCACCGCAAACACTCACCTGACCAGAGCCTTCACAGCAAACTTGACGACAGTGGAGAGCAGGAAGAGCGGAGTGACCAGGATGTGGAACAACGCCAGCGCTGCGAAGGCCTCGGAGGGACTGGGACAGGTTTGTTTCTCGAAGTAATGCATCGCAAACGTCTACAGGACGACGGGGATTTAAACGTTACCGTTACTTTATTGATATTGCCAAATTACACTGTGGTTGTAGAAAGCAGACGATAGTAGTTAGAGATTCATAGATTAGTGAATCCCAAAAGTAAAACGGTCTTACCGCCAGAACGGCAGCAATGGGGATGGCAGCATTCATGAAAACTGCACACAGAGAGAAAAGCGGATTTATTACAGTGAGATAAAGAGTCATGCTTGAGTAACACTAACTGGTTTTCATCTTACTGGACATAGACGTGTAGAAAGCGAAGGTCCTGAGGCTGGTGAGCTCTTTGCCTCTCGTCTCCTCCACGCTGTCGGAGAAGATGTTCTCCCAGGCGTACAGCTTCAGCAACTTTATACCCTTCAAGATCTCTGTGGTCTTCTTCAGACGATCGGTGGAGTGCTCCTGAAAGAGACGACACAGGACGACAAGTTATGTGTTAGTCGATAAAACGGAAGAGTTTGTTTCGAGATTCACATGAGGTCACTTTTAATCATCTTCGAGTATAAGTGACATCCGGTAGAAATCTGAAGAAATTCCCTAAACATAGACTTGAGATATGATGTTTAAGGGGCCAAAGACATGTTTTGTGACTCCGTTGATTAATCAGTTAATCAATAACTCTATGTGAACATTTGAGCAAGATTTGAAAGGATTTTCTTGATGCATTTTTTAAGATAACACGCTCAACATATAGATATATCGTGTTCACACGAACAGGAGGTCACCATAACCTCGACCTTTCACCACCAAGATTAAATCAGTTCGTTCTGGAGTCTAAACGAACATTTGTCCCAAATTTGAGGAAATTCCGGAAAAGAAATCTTGAGATATCGCGTTCATGAGAATGAGAGAAAAAATGACTGTACGTAAAGTTGTATGTCAAAACAACGTTGTCAAACTTCTTACTAGTGTGCTTTTTTGTGTGTCCGCCAGCTTCGTAGCTATGAGGTATTGTATCGGAGCCAGCAGAACTATGACGGACGCTCCCACCAGAGCGCTCCAGCCCAATAAATAGTAGAGCAGGACCACTCCCATCACAATCTGCAACAGAGGAACCAGGAAATAAATCTTTACACAAACCCCACTGCCGTATATTAAGAGTTCTGAGATAAAACTCCTATACCTGAACGGGCATGGCCCAAAGGTTCGGGCAGAGGAAGAGGAACCACATCAGCTGGTTGGTCTCTATAGCAACCAGGTTGTTGATCTGCCCGAGTGTCATCTCGCCCATGGACATGTTGGAGGTGGAGAGACGCAGGATTTTGTTGTAAATCATCGCCTGGAAAATAAATTATTATTAGATCTGAAAAGAATGGGGAAGACAGAATGGAGTAAACGTCGCCTAAAGGGGGCGACACTGCCACCGATGATGTTTCACTCACCAACAGGGCTCCGCGCAGGTTGATGCCAGTTTCTATGGCGACGTAGTAGGAGGCCTGTAAGAAGGTCCTCTGCAGGATTAACGCCAGGAAGAGAAGAACGGCCAGGACCGGCGTGTTCTGCAGCAGCTTAGCGGAAGACATGAAGTGGACGCCAAAGTAGGTTTCCTGCAAAACACACACAAGTTTGACCGTTGACCACGTGAATCTGAACAGTTCATCTGCGAGTCTGTGTGAACATTTGTGCCAAATTTTTAAGTGTTTCCTCGCGGAGTTTCGGAGAAATTGCGTTCACAAGGCAAAAAATGATTCCGACCAGCAAATTGTAATCAGTTCCCTATAAACCCTCTCCTCGCTGTACATATGAACATGTACATAAACGCATTACGTGTATATGAATAAAACACACTCACACACTGTGGCTGTGACGCTCTGCAGTGCCCCCTCTGTGTTCATCGGACCCGGAGTGTGAGGTGAGTGGGAAACTTTCCGTGTCACTCAGAAATGCAGCCGTGCTCTGCTCTGTATCTCCGCTGCCCATTACATCCACTTTACCCGACAAGCGCTCACATTCAACATCAGCCGCATCAGGCCGAGCGCAAACACACAGAAGCATCTGTTCCGCCTCTGCGACCCGCTCCCACCTCTGGAGGAGAGCGGCACAGGTTTCAGACGAGTGGATGTTTGAGATCAGCTCTGCCAAATGGACCTGGTGTGTAAACGAGTCTGTTCTCTCTCCGTCGTGAGAAGATAAATGTGCTCTGTGACACTGAGGCGTGAGAATTAAAAATCTCGCTCCAGCTGCTGAAACTTTTTTAGATCATTTATGATCCTGAAAACGTTGATTTTAAACTTTAACGTCAGGGAAAATCAAGGCTGATGAATCTAGACTCACGTGTGTTAGTGCTTAGTGTGTGTGTTCTGTGTGTGTGATGTCAACACCCAGCGCATTACGACATGACAGGCATATTATCACGTCAGATACAGCGTCCCACACACACACACACACACTCAAGACACACTCACACACACACACACACACACACAGACACACACACACACACAGGTGTTGACATGATGATTGTGACCAACGCCTCTGTAACATCACACTGAGAGTGAGTCATTGACTGGCTGGCTCCTGACATCATCACTAACAGGCAGTGTGTGTGTGTGTGTGTGTGTGTGTGTGTGTGTGTGTGTGTGTCTGTGAGTCTCAGATGACGTTGCACTCGTTTGCAGTTAAACTATAATAAAATGATCGAACGTAAACACTGTGGTTCTTCAGCAGCATCAGTCGAGCCGAAGGGACTGAATGAATATTTTTATTTTTTGTTATTATCTGTTCATCTTCCTCGTCTGGTTCAGACGTTCACACCAAAATAAAAAAGTTTCCTCAGACGTCTTCACCTCCGATGATTTAAAGTTTGGAACCACGAGGATGTTCATTTGAACTAGTGCTGTAGTACTGTAGTACTGTGGAGTATTGTGGAGTACTGTGGAGTATTGTGGAGTACCGGCCTGAAGGTGCTGATGCTGCTAGTGATAGCATCATGACGTTACCATGGCAACTAAATGAACGCTCCATTCATGTTCCAATCAGAGTCAAGTATAGGTAGACTCCGCCCACGTAGGTGATGACGACGGGACGTACGATGTCAGAAACGAACAGATCAGATGAAACTATGAACACATGAAGCTTCGGCTGAGACCCACCCACCATCGGTTCTGACGTGCTGTTGTCAGCCTCCATGTACTTCACGATGCCGGAGATGCACAGTGGCCCGGCGAAGCCCAGCAGGTCGGCAAGGTAGCGGAAGGTGCTGCTGAGCAGGATGGGACGCCCGAATGCTCGATACATGGAGCGCCAGATCGACGGGGATCGATTCGGATCCTCCGCTGTCTGCGTGGAGAGAGAGAGAGAGAGAAGCCGAAAAACATAAAGCGAGAGTTTCGAACGAGAGTCAAATCAGGGGATGGTCTCCATCCGCTCACCCTCTGATCCTCGTAGGCGTCTTTGAGCCGCAGGTAGTTGGTGAGCGCTCTCATGGCGATGGGCAGCTTCCCGATTTTCTTCAGCTCTATCGGCCTTTTATGGGCTCCCATGATGAGAGGGTTCATCCACCAATATGTCGCCTAAAAATGTGCCAAGAATTCGTATCAGCGTCTTTTACGCTCTGTTACAAGGAATCGCTATAAAAACCATAGTCACAGCCACAGTTCATGATGAGACATCAACATTAGGTCTGGTTGTTGGAAATAAGGAACATAAACGTTTGATATTCTCTCTTTGAGACGTATATTTAGAATCGATTGTGTGATCGGTACCTTGGAGAGCAAGTTGACAAACGGCTGCAGAAAGCGAACGCCCAGATCCTGCAGATCTTCTGGCGGCTTCACCTTCTGAGGACTGGCGAAGAATACGTACTTCTGCAGGGAGACGAGAGGAGACACGAGAACAATGAATGTGTGGTTAATTAACAAGTTCACAGTCACTGCCATTATTCCTCTTCCTGGATTTGAGACATTTGAGTCAATTCAGTTCACTGACCCTGACTCTGATGACGTTGATCTCCACGGCCATCAGGAGTCCGTACAGGATCACCAACAGAGCTGTGATGCAGAACCTCAGGTGCCGTAGTCCGACGTCGTTCTCCACATACTTCCACAGCTTAATGGACTTTGTGATGAACGCCAACACCCAGTAAATGAAAAGAACTGTCCGGGAAAAACAAGTTTATGTCACTGCCCTTAAATAAATGTGGACAAAAGTAATTAGACACTCACCGAGCAGCAGTTTGGGAAAGTTGGACGTCTCTATGTTGTGGTAATAAACCACTGATGTCGTCGCTGCTACAAAACCAATGAATGCAGGCATGTACAGATGGAGGTTATTAGTTTCCATTATCCTACAGACGAAATAAAAATCAATGTGGTAAATCAGAGACAATGTGGAAAAACATAAAACACATAATAGGTCAGGACGTGCACCCGTTACCTCGTCGTCATAATAAGACAGGTCAACATATTAAAGGAAGTCAGTGAATAACAGCTGAAAATACGAATGATAACAATATAAAATGAAATAACACTACACTAAATACAACATGTGTCTTTCTCGGGGCCTCACTTGGTCGTGACGATGCCCTCTGCAAACTCGCAGACGTGGACGAACAGCAGCGAGAAGGTGAGGATCCACCTCATGTTGTGTCCGGGGAAATGAAGCCACGTGTTGTGATGGATCTGGACCTTCGAGCTCTGACTCCCCCAACCTGACGAGCACAGACGGAGACGATGGCGTTTCTGAAGCCGTGTGGTTGTATTGTTGAACACTTGTACCAAACTTGAAACTGTTTCCTCAAGTATTTCTGAATACAATACCTGGCAACCTGAGAGCTCATGAAACAAATATTACATATTCCTTATATAGTCTTACTTTGCTTATTATATTTTCTGTATTTTTCTTAGTATTCTCGTTATGTTTTTGTTTGCTGCAGCTTCATTTCCTGCAGGAAAGATCAATGAACGCACTAATCCAAACTGAACTGCTCTTCAAAGCTGCTTAATGTTCACACTGGAAACAAGAGTGTGTGTGTGTGTGTGTGTGTGTGTGTGTGTGTGTGTGTGTGTGTGTGTCTGTGAGTCTCAGATGACGTTGCACTCGTTTGCAGTTAAACTATAATAAAATGATCGAACGTAAACACTGTGGTTCTTCAGCAGCATCAGTCGAGCCGAAGGGACTGAATGAATATTTTTATTTTTTGTTATTATCTGTTCATCTTCCTCGTCTGGTTCAGACGTTCACACCAAAATAAAAAAGTTTCCTCAGACGTCTTCACCTCCGATGATTTAAAGTTTGGAACCACGAGGATGTTCATTTGAACTAGTGCTGTAGTACTGTAGTACTGTGGAGTATTGTGGAGTACTGTGGAGTATTGTGGAGTACCGGCCTGAAGGTGCTGATGCTGCTAGTGATAGCATCATGACGTTACCATGGCAACTAAATGAACGCTCCATTCATGTTCCAATCAGAGTCAAGTATAGGTAGACTCCGCCCACGTAGGTGATGACGACGGGACGTACGATGTCAGAAACGAACAGATCAGATGAAACTATGAACACATGAAGCTTCGGCTGAGACCCACCCACCATCGGTTCTGACGTGCTGTTGTCAGCCTCCATGTACTTCACGATGCCGGAGATGCACAGTGGCCCGGCGAAGCCCAGCAGGTCGGCAAGGTAGCGGAAGGTGCTGCTGAGCAGGATGGGACGCCCGAATGCTCGATACATGGAGCGCCAGATCGACGGGGATCGATTCGGATCCTCCGCTGTCTGCGTGGAGAGAGAGAGAGAGAGAAGCCGAAAAACATAAAGCGAGAGTTTCGAACGAGAGTCAAATCAGGGGATGGTCTCCATCCGCTCACCCTCTGATCCTCGTAGGCGTCTTTGAGCCGCAGGTAGTTGGTGAGCGCTCTCATGGCGATGGGCAGCTTCCCGATTTTCTTCAGCTCTATCGGCCTTTTATGGGCTCCCATGATGAGAGGGTTCATCCACCAATATGTCGCCTAAAAATGTGCCAAGAATTCGTATCAGCGTCTTTTACGCTCTGTTACAAGGAATCGCTATAAAAACCATAGTCACAGCCACAGTTCATGATGAGACATCAACATTAGGTCTGGTTGTTGGAAATAAGGAACATAAACGTTTGATATTCTCTCTTTGAGACGTATATTTAGAATCGATTGTGTGATCGGTACCTTGGAGAGCAAGTTGACAAACGGCTGCAGAAAGCGAACGCCCAGATCCTGCAGATCTTCTGGCGGCTTCACCTTCTGAGGACTGGCGAAGAATACGTACTTCTGCAGGGAGACGAGAGGAGACACGAGAACAATGAATGTGTGGTTAATTAACAAGTTCACAGTCACTGCCATTATTCCTCTTCCTGGATTTGAGACATTTGAGTCAATTCAGTTCACTGACCCTGACTCTGATGACGTTGATCTCCACGGCCATCAGGAGTCCGTACAGGATCACCAACAGAGCTGTGATGCAGAACCTCAGGTGCCGTAGTCCGACGTCGTTCTCCACATACTTCCACAGCTTAATGGACTTTGTGATGAACGCCAACACCCAGTAAATGAAAAGAACTGTCCGGGAAAAACAAGTTTATGTCACTGCCCTTAAATAAATGTGGACAAAAGTAATTAGACACTCACCGAGCAGCAGTTTGGGAAAGTTGGACGTCTCTATGTTGTGGTAATAAACCACTGATGTCGTCGCTGCTACAAAACCAATGAATGCAGGCATGTACAGATGGAGGTTATTAGTTTCCATTATCCTACAGACGAAATAAAAATCAATGTGGTAAATCAGAGACAATGTGGAAAAACATAAAACACATAATAGGTCAGGACGTGCACCCGTTACCTCGTCGTCATAATAAGACAGGTCAACATATTAAAGGAAGTCAGTGAATAACAGCTGAAAATACGAATGATAACAATATAAAATGAAATAACACTACACTAAATACAACATGTGTCTTTCTCGGGGCCTCACTTGGTCGTGACGATGCCCTCTGCAAACTCGCAGACGTGGACGAACAGCAGCGAGAAGGTGAGGATCCACCTCATGTTGTGTCCGGGGAAATGAAGCCACGTGTTGTGATGGATCTGGACCTTCGAGCTCTGACTCCCCCAACCTGACGAGCACAGACGGAGACGATGGCGTTTCTGAAGCCGTGTGGTTGTATTGTTGAACACTTGTACCAAACTTGAAACTGTTTCCTCAAGTATTTCTGAATACAATACCTGGCAACCTGAGAGCTCATGAAACAAATATTACATATTCCTTATATAGTCTTACTTTGCTTATTATATTTTCTGTATTTTTCTTAGTATTCTCGTTATGTTTTTGTTTGCTGCAGCTTCATTTCCTGCAGGAAAGATCAATGAACGCACTAATCCAAACTGAACTGCTCTTCAAAGCTGCTTAATGTTCACACTGGAAACAAGAGTGTGTGTGTGTGTGTGTGTGTGTGTGTGTCGGTGTGTGTGTGTGTGTGTATGTGTATGTGTGTGTGTGTATGTGTGTAACACATCTGCTGTGCTCGCCAGCCGACAGGAAGTCACATGATATCAGGTTTTTTAATGCCTCATGACATTAATATTCTTAAATAAATAAAAAGAAATCCATCTATTTTCTACCCTTATCATACAAAGGTCACACGGGGCTGCGGTCTATCCCAGCATGCACTGGGGCAGAATATGACCTGCACTACTCCAGATATGTGATAATCACTTGTGTTTAACACGACGTGAGACGATCAGAGTAAAGATCAGTGATCCTCCGGATTAGTCCGACAGCTGCGCTCGCGTCTGAGACTTTCCAGCAGAGAAGGTGAAGCTTTAAGAGGCTTGAGCAGGAAACACTTAAAACATGTGTCGGAACACACACAACACAGACTGAGCTGAACCCTGAAACCAGGAAGCAAACTGTGAATGTCTGTGTGTTTTATAACCTGAGTCAACAGCTGAATTCATTCACTTACCGATGAAGAGGATGGGGAAGGTGAAGAAGAGCAGGAAAACATGAGGAACCAGGTTGAGAGCGTCCACGAAGCAGCCGTTCTTCAGCACACCTTTGTTCACGCTGTAGGCACTGATGTTGATGCCTACGCCGCAAAACGACAAGCCTTCGTCCAGCGGCTTCATTTCCTCCATTCTGTCTGGGAAAACAAAAAACATGTATTCATGATTACTCTAAGCTGTGAAAACTCGTGGATCTAAATTCTGTTTCATTAAACGGCTCGGTCACCTTTGATTTGACCTTTGGAGAACACTTCACATTCAAGTTCACGCACTCAGAGGCTCCGATTCAAGCATGAGGTCCACGTCACAGCTACACGGCCCCGAGCTCACGATGCTTTCAGGCTAACATCCGCGTTCGAAAGGAAACACGTCAGTAACAGACGTAGGTTTCAGGGTTCGTGTTCCAGTTTTATTCTAAGGATAAATTACAAAGATCCTGTGGTTTTATCTTCACAGAAGTTTTATGTTTTATCTTTATTTTGTAAAATAAAAAACTTTATAACGTAAGTAATATTTTGTTGCAGCCCTCAACTTGTTGGTAGCTTGAAATTTCCATTATAAATGCCGGTTTACATGTTACAAGATAATTCTCTTAATCTCGTTATCTTCAATTTGTTGCCTTACTCAAACATTTCCCACATTATAGAGTTTGGTTAATATTATTTTTTTTTTACGAGCCAACATCGACGCTACATGTTGTAAAACAAACATGGCGACGCCTGTCAGCCATCTTTATTTGGGTCAAGAGATGCTTCCGATAGCTTCATTCCAACACAGTTGATACTTTTATTCTGACATGAAGTCTTGGGATCTTTCAAATATAAATTCCAGCAATAAAACAGACGACAAGCGTCGTTCTCCACAACGAGAAAATATCAATTTATATTTCTAAAAACAATATTACTTTAATTTCCGTTCAAAGACATTTATATTTTTATGTATTTTGGTTTAACAAAAATGCAGATGATTTAATTTGGTCTAAAACTGATGGAAAACCTGGATTTTGCTGCTAAAATTAAATTTAAAAAAGTTAAATGTACCTTCAGCTTTTCAACTGCCGAAACAAAAACATTTCAAAACACGAGGCTCACACAGACGTTCAAAAGCTCATTCACACGCAGGTTAAGTTAAACTGAGTTGTTAAGTTCAAATGACAACATGAAAGTTTCTCACCTCAGAGAAAAGTAAAAATCCTCAATGCCTCATTCCTGAAACCTTTTTTTCTTCAGCCAGGAAACAAAGAGAGGGAGGAAGAGGAATAAAGACAATATTTTACAGTGAGAAGAAGTGAGCAGAGAAAAGTGGATTATTTTTAGCCTTGTAAGAGAATCAGCTGCTCTGCATTCTGCTGCCACATGTCAAACTGCAGGGAACGAGACAGGGGGCTGCTGCTGAGCTCTTCACAATAAAACACTCACGCGGACGCTGAGTTTCATCCCACTCTCAAGAAAAAGTTCAGTTTGGAGCCAAATAAACCCGATAAAAGTTCAGTTGTAAGATTATCAAATGCAGTAAATGGTACGAATGAGCATTTTTATCACAACATATCAACTGACGGACACAATGAGGGTTTTAATTCATTTCATGTCACAAAATGAAGAAGAAAATCAGCAGTATATTAAAAAAAACTTTTCAGTTAGTGTTTCATTAATCAATCAAAATACCAGTCTCCTCTCTACCCTGTACCCTTTTGACTACAACAGGTTGCTTGTGTACTTAAATGATGAGAACTTGTGTTTTAAAAATTTCCACTTCTATTCTTTATCTTTACATAACACCGTGCGTCCGCCTGGAAGGAAATGTGCCAGATAAATAAAGATATAAATAAAGATTTGCTTGTTTTTGAGTGATTGTTCATAATTTCCCCTGACATCCAACAATAAAATACTTTATTTTGAAAGCATGAAAGTAATTAATTCCTGAGAAGAGCTAGAAACTTTATCTGACTCCAACGCTCCCTCCTCTCATATTTCCAAATTTGCACCAGTGAGGAGGAGGAGGAGGAGGAGGATTATTATGGGCTCCTTCACCAACTGACATGTCACCTCCTCTGATCACAGCTCTGACGTCATGACCTCCCTGTGACCTCATCACTTTCAGACTTCAGCCTCTGCAGCAACATTAAAAACCTGCTGCTGCAGTTGGAACACGATAAATTAAAAGAATCAGTTCATCAGTATAATGACTCAGAATGAAGCTTTAACATTTTAAAAGCCTTTTAACACAATAATAATATTCAAGCTTATTAATCAATGCTTGTTTTTGGAAAATATCATTTTTACAAACATGTGTTTTGATATTTGAAATGATTCTGGAGCAGATTTGATTCATGACCTAAAACCATCACAGAGGATGAAGGATTGTCACGTGACCGCGCTTCGTTGTGTTATTTCTATGAGCTGCAGGAATCAGAGCAAGATGCATCTCATGCACCATGCAGCAAATATTTTAATGAGGAAACAATGGAGCAATAATAAACCGATGTGGTGCGTTTCACATGTCGAGGAGCTACGATGTGACAGTCACCTTGCCTTGTGGTAAACCAAACTCCATAAACAAAACACGTATATTGAAGGTTTTTAGCAGTGTGGACAAATGTATAGGCTTGTGACGAGTCTCGTAATGCATTTTAATCAATTAGCAAGACTCCACTCTTGTATTCGGCTCATATAAGAAGAATGGAAGAGGTTATAATCCAGTAAAACTTTCAACTTTTTGAACTGTCCCGCCTACATTTCCTGCAGCTTCATTCCTCCACATGCGACCGCATCCATCGTTAACCGCGAGAAAGATTAGCGTGATTCAAGCTTGTGTTTTGCTCAGATCTGCGTGCACGGTGGATTTCATTAGAGCCGAATTGTGGATTTACCTTTTCTCCATCCGAATATAGCATTGAGTCGCCAAATGAATCATGAGAACTTTTACTCAGAGTCTAAACTCTTTCAATGTTGGGTTTTTTCTATGGAGTCTGGTTCAGGCTCCGTGTCTTTCACGTGAAGACAGCACTGAACTGAAAACCTCGCTAAGATGCTGTCGCTTGGTTGTAGAGGACAGAGGGGGGAGAAGGAGAAGCCTTACCCGGCCTGTGATGCACGGTGCTGGGCTCGTCCTCCGGTCAAACGTCCGCTGGTCGACTCTTTTCTCCGGTGCAGGTTTTCTACTGAAGAACCGGGGACAGGAAACACCGAGAAACACACCAAGTGTCCCTCACATCAGATGTGATGGTGATATGGCGCTGCACACACACACACACACACACACACACACACACACACACACACACACACACACACACAGATCTGGAGGCTGTTTCCAGAGACATTTCTCTTCATGCATGCAAACATCAAGAGGAGAATTTAGGTCAAATTAAAGCCGAATAAGCAGAACTGAGCTTTTATTTTGTAAATGTGCAGTTGAACACACGCAGCTGCAGCAGAAACTGTGTGAAGAGTCATTTCAATAGAACTCACTGAAATATCAGCTGAGGATCTGAACTGGAGCAAAGTTACAGGCTTAAAATCCAAGATTCTGCAGAATGAGCTCAATGCATTTTGACGTCACATGTGAAATAAGTCTGTGTCCAGGTCTCTCAGGTGACTGGGACAGTCCATTTCAACAGGTTTACTTTAGAAATATATTATATATGACAAATTATTTCTATTAAGACTCAGTCCCTTTGCACCTGAGCTGCATTTTATTTTGAAATGCATTATTTATTTGCTGCAGAAAACAGGAAGGGGGCGCTGTTCATTCAAAAACTCAAAATGAGCTTCAGCAGCAGCAGATTGAAAATCTGATAAAAAGTCACATTCTGCATGTATTCAGAATATTACTAAGAATATTCATATTAAGAATATTATTACCATGAACTTTTTGAAAAAATATGATAATAAATAAATATTAAAGGGGCAGTGTGTCAAATTTGAGTCTCTCTTAGCAAAAGTGGGATATAATCCTCATATCGACGTTATATTAACTGTGCAGTGAGTCTAGAATAAAATGTTTTAGTTAATGTCCAACGAGCTTTATATATATTCTTAAATATCAACACAACACGTTGCTACGGACGACCGGAGCGGACAAACCGGTTAGAGGTGGCGTCTCGCGTTTGAGAAGCTCAATGAAGAAGAAGAAGAAGAAGAAGAAGAACCACGCCGGGGGTGGGGTTCCCAAGAAAATGTCAAAGGAAGAACTTGACCTTTGACCCTTCACACACACAATCCCCCCCCCAGGGCCTGACAAACACTCCATCTTCTTTCTCTCTCTCTCTCACACACACACACACACACGACCATCATCTGAGGGAGACGGAGACATGATGGAGATTAAATCATCTTGTGAACGTTTTTAAACTGACCACATTAAATACACATTAAACCTGATGTAGATATAAGATAAGTTTATTTTAACTTGTGTGACCATCGATTACATCTTTGTTGTTGTGTGTGTGTGTCTTCCTGCATCCATGAGCTGTGTGTGTGTGTGTCTGTGTGTGTGTGTGTGTGTGTGTGTGTGTGTTTTCCTCCACAGCGTGAGAAAGCTCTCTCCTGAGGTTAGTGCTTGACCGACACGCCGCCCCAGAACAGGAAGTGGGGAACGTTCCCCTCTTTCCAGAACACACACACACACACACTCATACACACACACACACGCACACACACACACACACACACACACACTCATACACACACACACACACACACACACACACACACACACACTCTCTACTTTTTTTTGACATGGTTTGAATCTCCTTATCTTCTAAATCATCCAAGAAAAATCCTGACTTTCTAAAAACATTTTCTCTGAAAATTGTCCTTGTTTTCAAAATGTCTTGACATGTAAGAGAAAAATACAGTTTGCAGAGATATCCAAAGTTTTATAATAAACAGAACAAAGTTCATATATTTTAAAAAGAAGAAAAAACAATGTTGTAATTTTCCTAAAGTCTCTTCACTCAAGAGCAACGCCACCCGTTCCACAATTTACTAAAACGTCCAAAGTGCTGTGACTTTGTCTAAATGTTTGTATCGTCCAAGAATGTCCTCGATTATCAAAAACACTTTTAAAAAATGTCCAGAACTTTTCTAAAACATTCTTTTCCTTTAAAAATATCTAACTTTTCCAAAAAAGTCCAAATATTTCTAATAAATGTCTTCACTTGTCCAAACTGTCTTCACTCACCACAAATCTTCTGTCTTGTCCTCAGTGTTTAAAACTGGTCCTCACAAGACAGAGGACAACAAACACACACAGGTCAGGTATCAGTCTATACTGCCCCCCTCTGGACACTGGCTGACACTGACGTCAAACTGTTTCTCATCTTCATCAAATTAAATGAAACTTTTAAAATTAACTTTAACAAACTCAATTCCTCTTCGTCGTGTGAACTTTTCCTCCTCATCCTCCTCAGAGGCGACAGAGCCGGATTTTCCTGAAGGTCGTGATTAAACATTCACAACTCATCTAACACGATTGTTCCGCTAAGTGAAGCCTGATTTTCAGCAGCAGTCAGACGGTGACAGATCATAATGAAACGATGACGAGCTGATTCCTGCAGATTAAGAGTCGTTATCACAAACAGACGTGACGGAGGCAGACGAGACGAGAGGAACCAGAACGTCTGACAGATGCAGCGATGCTGAGGTTCCACAGGGATAATACTTCAAACTGATTTAAACAGGAAATACTCAACTGTTGAGGTTCGACACCATCAGTTCATACTTTAATTTAAAGTGACACGAAGATAATTCTGTTTTCATGAGACTGAGACTTAATGTCCTCAACACTGGTTCCATACATTTCCTATAGAAGAGCTCATTTCACACTTATGAGGCCTGTTCACCTGATGTACACTCTGGGCACCAGGGGGCGCTCTACACCTTCAGATGGTTGGGTGGAAAAGCAGCAGAACAGTTCTGAAGTGTTTTTGTTTTCTAAGATTTCATGAGACTTTTCAGATTAAAATCGAAAAACTGCATTTCAACTCTAGAACCTGACTCCTCCTCCTGAAGGCTCCTCTCTTCTTCTCCTGTCCAGAAGAAAAGTTCCTCCTCCTCTTCTTCTTCTACTTCTTCTTCTTCCTCTTCTTCTTCTGCCTTGGTTATGACAAACAGCTGTTCCTGTTGAACTCTCCGCAGCACAAACTAACTGGACTCAGTGATAGACGCATGGAGGACGCTCAACTTCACGAGGCCTCCTGACCCCACGCCTGGGATGTGGCTCTTTGAGGAGCCACTGTTTGACAATGGTTTCCTGGTCACCTCAGTCCTGACATCCACACCCACTTCAACAACGGTGAAGGAAAAGTTCAGGGAGGCAGGAATAGTGAAGCTGGGCCACCTGACCCGGACGTCACTTGAGAGGCTGGCGGAGGTGATGGGAATTCGATCCGCCATGAGTGCTGCGGAGCCTCGTGGACGAGGTGTGGCAGGCGCTGCCCCAAACTCTGAGGACCTTCGCCCAGAACAAAAGTCAGGTGGACCAGTGGACCAGAACACAAGAATACGGGTTCCCTATCCTGAAGGTGAGTCCTGCAGTGGGGGAGTGGAGAGAAGAGAGCGGCCGACTGCTAACCCTCAGGACTCCAGCACTGGGCACCTTCAACACCTGTGGAGGGAAACAACTGCACCACAGCTGCGTGAAGGCCCTGAACCGTCGCTCTCTCGCAGGAGTCAGGGAGTCCAGAGGGACTGAGGTTGTTGGCTCAGACTATTCCCCTAGTGGCAGCTGGCGGGTCCTGTATAAACCTCCTGTGGAGAGACGGGTGGCAGACACCCAGTGGAGAATTATACATGGAGCTCTAGCTACAAACAGATACAGAGCTCACCTGGACCCAAGCACTGAGGGGGGGGGGGGTGTCCATTGTGTCCACTGCCTGAGACCCTGGAGCACTTAGTGGTGTCCTGTCCCAGGTTAGCGGACATGTTCAGCTGCAGGAGTGGGTGGGGGGGGGGTTAGGAGAGGCTTTCTCTTTGCCACTTTTTGTGTTTGGACCCAAATACACAGCAAGGAGGAAACATACCATGGGTTTAATGAGTTTTCTTTTTTCTAATGCAAAGATGGCAACCTGGATCAGTCGTGAAAACAAAATGTCTGGGAGAGGCTGGATGGATCCGCTGCGCTGTGTGAGGGGTTTGGTGGCAGCTCGGCTGAGTATCGAACATGCGTGTTTTACACTGACTAACAATTTGGAGGGTTTCAGGGCTGTGTGGGGGGTGGGGCAGGTCCTGTGCTCACTGGGGGAGAACCAGGCTCTGGTTTGAACTTTTTAGGGTTGGTGTCTGACGTGTGTGTAATATAATGGTTTTTATCCCTTTGTCTTTGCCAAATTTGTTGAGTAATTAAGAACTTTTTTGACAATGTGTCTTAAATAAAGTTATTTAAAAGTCAAAAAGTCTTCCTCTACTTCTTCTGCTTCTTCTTCTTCTTCTTCTTCTTCTTCTTCTTCCTGTCAACAGATGTGTCATTGATAACGCAGTACCTAAAGTGATGTCACGTGTTTGATGAGTGTTTTATCAGAGGAACAGTCAGAACCTGCTGACTCACTGAACTTTAATTCACCTGTGAGAGTAAAGTTTAAAGTTTCTGTGAATCATATAATCACACAATCACACTTGTGGCCTCAGAAGTGCAGAGGGAGGATCGGGGATTTTCCACATTGATAAACGAGGGTTGTTATTTAAGCAGCTTTGTTAAATGAACTTTGTGTCAGTCACGTCTTGTCTGTTGTATTTGTTTGACAGTTGTCACAGACACTAACAACTCACCCGCTCCGACCTCTGCAGACTCAAACTCGTAGTTTGTGTCAAACTAACGAGGAAACAAACGTCATGAAGTTTTTTTGTGTTTCCTCCTGAAGAGCGTTTGTTGTTGCAGCTTCCTTTGATTTACGGCCTCAGTGAGTTTTTCCTACACAACTCAAAGGACGAAGATGAAATCCACATCTGCTGTAACATCATACGCAAAGGTATTTATTTCTGTGGGAAACTCTGCTGATCGAGCTTCTCACTTTTCAGCCTTCGGCAAAATAATCCGACAGGAAGTTCAATGCGGCTCATGATGTTCAGGTCAGAATCCATCAAGGACGCAGGAGGTGGAGCAGAGATCTGTGTTCACGCACAAACTTTAATTACAGTCGGAGGCAGAAAGTAAAGAGGAGGACATTTTGGAGACGTGGATCTTTAGCTGTCTGTGTCCGCAGCAGTGACTCGATGGACGTCAGCAGTGAGAGAAATCAGGAGCAGCGTCT